ATTGACCAGATTGCATCAAATGAGAGGTATTTCTAACAGATTTCCCATAGGAGGATACCCTCAGATTTCCCTACAGGGTTTTCAACCTAACACTTGAAATTATACAAGTTGAACACAGCTATAATATTGGCATACAGCATTTGGCACACTTTCTTCATGTCTCTGTGCATAACCTGGCCAGTAAAACCCCAGAGGAGGATTCTCAGTTCAGACTCTCCTTCAAAACCTGTTTCCCAAATCCCAACTCACACACCTCCTGGAGTTTTGTTTCTTAAAATATGACCCATGGAACTCTGGACTGAGCCTCTATGGAATCTTATCCAAGGGACTACAACAGCAATGACTACCAGAGCACTCTGATTCCATTTCCCAGCCTGCTTGGAGTCAGAGGTGGTGACAGAATGGACTAAAAACCTCCTGCTGAGGCCAAAATAGGAAAGGTAGGCTTCTGCACAGGGTGATCTGGAAAAGCAGTGTTCTGGGCCACTGATGAACCAGGACTGCTCAGCCACCTTAGTGGGACAGGACACCCTGACCCAGAGACAGAGACAATGTTAGTTTCGGCTTTGCGTTTGGGAATTGAGAGAAGCAGAGCAGCTCAAGGAGTGTCTGATTAATTCCTGATCCCCTCCCCACAAAGGTAGACTTTGAATTGCAGTGGATCTAGTGCATAGCTCAGGCAGTTCCATCCTTGCAAAGACCAGCACCCAGAGTGTCAGAGATCCGACACTGCACCAGCTGCTGAGAGCCAGGAGAAGACTCTATAAGTGTTCCCTCCCCCCTTTTTAAAGCAGCTCATGTTCATGGTGCTGCAGCACTCATGTCTGGACTCCCCGCCTCATTTGTCTGGGAAGGTGCCAGGGAGGGAGCTGAGGGTTGGAAGAGTTGAGTGTTAGAAGGTGGGGAACTTGTTGATTTGTTGATATTTTAGTACTTAGTAGTAGTTAACCCTAACCCTTGCCTTCTCCAGATCCTATTTTCCGGCTCCCAATAAAGTCCCCCTTTGCTGTATATTTTTGCATATGTCATTCCTTTCCTGGGGTTTATGCTAATGAATTTTATTGGGTTTTGTGTGCTGTGTTTTTTACTCGTTGCCAGCAGTAGTAGCATTATTCATTGTCCAAAGGACAGCTCCACTGGTGTCCCAGGCACAGCGAGGAATCACTTTAGGTGGAGGCACCAGAAAGAACCCAGGACCCAATCTATGCAAGGTGAGGGGAGAAGCCACTCCAAGTAGCAAGAACCAGGGAAGAGGCTTGAGCCACATGTCTGGGAAGGGCTGCATTTGAGTTGGCCACACTTTTAGAAAAATCCCCCCATCCTGCATGCATTCTACAGGTTTTGGTTTGTTTAGCTGCATGCTTGGGAAGGTATTTTGCCCCTCACGTATTACTTTGGTGTAAAATAAATGTTTACCTATTGGCACTGATCTTGTTCATTCCACCTGCTGCAGTGTGTTTGAGACATTTTATTTTGGGACATCCATCAAGGTATTAACTCTCCAGGAGCGAGGCTCTCCCCATCCACCTCTTGCTGATATTTTCAGAGAGGGAAAATTACTAACCTTGTACTTCTCCTTCTGGGAAGACATATTCTTGGGATTACCACCTCTCTCCTCAGAGTTTGGAGGGATTTCTGTGTGAAATAGCGTCTGTGTTTTGACATCTGTTTTACTAATTGGATTAGTTTTTTCCTGAGATATTGTCAATTGCTTCTCTAATCATTGTCCCAATGTCACATATGACCAGTTTATATGTGGATAGTTGAAGCTGCCCATAATTATTCCTTCTAGATTTTGTTTCCTCCTTAATCTCTCAATATTGGACACGCTATTCCCCTTGTGTGCCACCTCCCCACCCCCCCTCCGTTCCAGTAGCTGGTAGCATAAGCTACTACTCTGAGAAATGGCTGGGTGCCAAACACCTCTTCAGCCGCTGTTAAGCTTCTTGCCTTAGTGTGTATATGTTGACTAATGCTAGTGCCTATTCTTACTCAGCAACTTTGTATAAAATGGTTACTGTTCCAGAATGTACCTTTCCCTTGTTTGAGCTCAACTTGTTCCCTCTCTATCACTATGAGCTGTAACTTATCCATTCTTTTCTACCATTTACTGTACTAGTGACATCTGTAGCAGAAGTCTTTGTCTGACCTGAGTCCTTCTCAGCACCTTTTGGCTTTGTACCAAATCCTAATTTAAGTAATCCTCATTAATTTTCTAAGACAGCAGTTTGGTTCTATCTCTTCTGTACACAAGTTTTCCCTACTCCAATATGGTTACTCTTCTCTAATAGATATAAATGTAGTGGGGTGGGGGGGAGCAGGGGTTATGGGTTGCTACACACAGTTCCTGAGTGTTCAGATACTATCTGGACTAGCTATCTTCTGCCTTTATTTAGTCCACTAATTAGAGAATTATAAAATACTTGTTAACATGCTATGTAATATGAAAAAAAAAAAACCCTAACTTTTTTAGTACATTTCAACAGTCACTTTATGGAACATTACATGGTGTGTCTTTTGAGCACAGTTAGCATGACTCCCCTCCTCCCCCAGTCTCTAGTTTGAATTAAGTGGTGTTTTATCGTCTGGTTAGCTGACCCATCAGGAGATTGTGGCAGTTTTGGGGAGCAGCTGCTTCTTTTGTTCCTGCTCCTTGGCTCTGGCTTCTGCGTGGAGCAGAGGCTACCTCAGTGGGTCCCATTGACCATACAAGACCCCAAACTAGAACCCAGCTGATGGGACTCTCTAAAATATCCTTGGACGTACCACATTTCAGATGCTGGACTAGACCCTTACTGGTGCATCCCAGCTGGAGAGACTTCATACAAGTCCCTGATTGTATTTTGCATTTAAAAAAAATTATAAGTGAATATAGTGCTTATGAAAGGTGATGGATGGAGCTGGCCAGAGTAACTTTTGAGGTTTTGAAATTTTTTATTTCATATTGGATTCAGAACAAAACCTTTTGACTGTTTTCATGAAAATGGAATTGTCAAAATCTCTGATTTTTGGATCAAAACCTGAATTTTTTGATATGTATGTGGCCTGGTGGTGAAAGTACTGGCTTGGAATGTGAGAAACCCCCGGTTTGATTCCTGCTCTGGCTTTTTCACAGCTGTTTTCACCCAAGAGACATAGGTGTTGGAACTAGGGGTGCAGGGCGTGCTGCTGCATCCCCTGTCTTGAAGTGGTTTCCATCATATACAGGGTTTACAGTTTGGCTTTCAGCACTATGAGTCTCGGCACCCCCACTATACAAATTGTTCCAGCATGTCTGCCCCATATCACTCTGAACCAGGCAGAGTTGAGTCTTTCATATCCCAGGCCAGTGCCTTAAACTCCAGACTTGTGTGTGTGAGTGAAAGAGAGACTGTCTGCCTCTCTTCCTTACAAAAACTTTGTCAAAAGTGATGTCTACACTAAATGTGTTGGCTTTTAAATGGCATATTTGGACAAAATTTCATTTAGTCAAAAATGTTCTGAGCAGCTCTAGCAATGATTTAATTTTGTTGAAGACCCAGATTTTCTATTTAATCACAGAATAGGAACAGCAGTGGCAACAATAGTGCAAGCTTCCCTAATTTAAGCCTAATGTGAAGGATGCTGCTGGGGGATGAAAGGCTAGTATGGTCATGTTCGGTCCTTGTTATCTTTGCTGAAGTATTAAGGCTTCTAACAACGTTACTAGGTGGGATGGATGAGATGCAGGCATGTCTTCAAGAAGCTAAACTGAGACCACAGTCCACCTGTGCATATTTTTATGTTCTTGCTTATAAAATTATTTCTAAAAGTTATTTTAAAAAACCTCTTTGAATGAAGGTGGGGTGGGAGAGGCAAAATGGTGGATACAGTAAAAATGTTAAAACCTGGAAATGAGCAGAATGCCCTCCCATAAGGAATAATCCCTTTAAAAATACTTTGGACCTGATAGAGCACAGACTTAAACAGATGCACAAAAAAGGGAGTGTATAAAAGGACCCTCCCCGCTCTTGAGCTCCCATGATGGGGACTGGATGAAATTCTGCTCAGGAGCAGGCATTGTACCTGCTTGCACTGGCTACCTGAAAGGTCCCTGATCCTGCTGTCCTTCTCCATGAAGCCCCCAGAGCTCTGCACAGTGAATGCATACTGCACTCATTACAAAGCTGTCGGAGCTGCCTAGTGTCTCCTTCCCAGAAGGAATTCTGGGAAAGTTATTCAGATTTCATGAGTGTTCTCCCATTGCAACATGGTTGCTCCACTGCAATCCTGGTTTTAAACGCCAGAATCTAGTCCTTAAGAGTTAACATTGCAGATCTTTGAAATTTCAGATTTCTGTACCAATATTACTTAAATAGGTCACCTGTGTTATTTCACTGATGGCAGAGGTTCCCCTTCGCTTTGTCATTTCTAACATTTATCTTCCTAACCAATACTTGATTGGATCATGAGTTTGTCTTTTTAGCTAAGACTTATAAATGTATTTTGGAAAGCCATAAAATGAGCTTTCACATGTTTAAATATTCTTAGTGGTACTTTCCAAAACAATGTGAAGTTCAGGTGTTGAGTGGCAGCATTGCATTTTGATATGTTGTATTACCAAATGTGTAACTTTTTAAAGGAGAGCCACTTGATATTCAGTACTAAAGAACAGCTCCTGCTTTCGCTGATTTTATAAATAAAATCCATTGAAGCAGAGAGAGATCTGGGGAAGGATGGAAATAATTACTTTGTAGCTAAAGCTGCAAGATCTTAGTTTTATTGTGGAGCATGTGTTGCCTAAAAAGCATGTAACATGACATTGGTTCCTGTCAGATTCTATCAAACAACACAACATTTCATAGCCTCCAAGAGCTGATACTTTTTTATGTACTTCACCAGTAAACAAAGAATAGCAATTTTTTTTAATTGGGGGGGGGGGGGAAAGAAACCTGCCTTGGATACATTCTTATGGTATACATAACCCTCCCCCTGGCTGCTTATATTTTTATCCTTGATGGATTTCTTTTTTACTATTTCAGAGCGATGAACATATATGGCTGTTTCTATTCGTGCTGGTGTATTTTCAGCGATGCCTGTCAACATCCACCAGAGAGCAGGGCAGCTCCAATACCCACATCTTTTATGCTGTGGAAATCAATGGGGACAGCAACACAGCCAGCTTCCTGACCAAACAACATGGATTGCAGTTCATTTCAAAGGTCAGCGCATATTTAAACTTGCTTCATTACTCCCCCCTTTATACTTGAGATTTTCATTTTTTTAAAATCAGTTTACCAAGAGGTTCCTTTAGAGACAGAAAAATGAAAGTGCTGAGTCCTATTTTCATTTGGGGATATCAAGCTTTTTATCAAATTATAGAGGTGGTGTTTCAGAATATTTCATATCTGATCAGAAGGAAAATCCAAAAATAATTTTCTCTTTATTCAGGAGTCTTTCAGGCAGTAGGACTGTTTTATTTATTACTTAATATTGTGCCCTAGTCAATCATTTTGAATTCAGACAGGAAAATAGAATTTTTATTTTTAAAGAAAAAACCTAAGGAAAAATATGATTAGAATAAAGTAGGGTTTGTTTTTTTTTAAAGCAAAAAATGTCTGTGCTTCCTCTGCTAAACATTTAATGTTGGTTTTTTTTAATCACAGCACATGAAAATGAGAGAGTACATTAACAAAGCATCTTACAGATGCAGATTACAAGGCACTGTAACTCCTGAGTATTTGTTCAACAATATTTACCTTTCAGCTTTCAGAATCTTGGCCTTCTAATACAATCAAGTACACTTCCATTTTTTTTCAAACCAAACCTCTGTGTGTGTGTGTGGGTGTATGTGCGCCTGTGCGCACACACATGTGCACACGCGTGTGCACACACACACACACACTCTGCATGTATCATATATATTCTGTGTATTTTGTGTATATACACACTGAATTTAGTCTCATTTTAATTTTCTGTCTGAAGAAGGCAGTTTCTAAATCTCAGATAAACTCCCTTATATACTAGCCCAGGGCAACTCCATGAGTTACTTTAATGTACATGAGATATACCTCAGGGACATATTTTTAGATTTTTACTGTATTTCTGTTAAAGAAATACCTTATTTATGTAAGTTAGTTTAAAAACAGATTACAAAGAAGATTTAACCTGATAATAGTACCTTCCGTCAGTTGATCTGAAAGCCCTTTGCAAATCTTGTTGAATTAAGCCTCCCAACATTCCTGCCATTATTATCTCCATTTCTCGGACATGAAAGGCTGATGCACAAGAAGCTGTGACATGTCCAAGATCTACACAGGAAGTCTGTGGCAATGTGATGAATGGAATACACATTTCTTGATTTTTTTTATTCCCCCCCCCCCCCAATCCTGTATTTAGGCCACAAGACCTTATCCTATGAGAGCATAATTAGCTTGTTGTGAGGGAGAAATACCTTGTGTGGTATCTTAACTGCTAGCAGTGACTTCCTGTCCCATTTATGAATAGTGTTGGTGGGCTCTGAGGGGAGTTGTATGCAGTTTTTTTCCAAGCAGAGAAGTGGTGGCTGTGACGCAGGTTTTATAATGAAGTGCTATAGCATTCTACAGTAACGATTCACAACCCGGTGGGTTATAATCCTGAATATGTATAATAAATAGTGGTTGAGCAGAGTTTGTGGCTACTACTCTAACATTCTTTTTAATAAGAGATGATTTCAAGAATGGAGGTGGAGACTTGGGAAGGCATTTGTGTGAAAAGGGGTCTCCCTTAAGCTTTGACTGCGATACAGAGGAGAACTAGGGTGGGGGGGAACAGATAATTTTCCTTCTTTGCCATTGAAATGATCTAAAAGTAATATACTGATCACATTTTTTATAGCATGTACAATTTGGGCACATTTTATTTACAGTTGGGTTATTGGAGGTTGTTTCAGTAGTATAGCAAAGAAAATCACAGTAACTGTCCTGGGTTCTGTAATATTTATCCAGCAAAAAGCCTTTCTTATTACCAAGATTGTGAATAAGAGAAGCAACAGGGTAGAAAGGGAAAAGCTAGGGATACAGGAGGTTTCTTCTGTCTACTCTCCTTATTTCTGGCTTACAACCTGTTGTATAAGCAGCAGCTACCTTTCTTAGCATTCTCATTTCAAATATGAAGAAGGAAGCCACTCTGGTATTTAGAGCTTATGGTCCTTAAAGCCATGAGGAGCACTTGTATAGTCTTAAAGATTCAAATATGAGTAAGCTTAATATTTTTTTCAAACTTTGTGTTGGCTTGTAATAAGCGTACAGTATGTGCTGTGTGATAAGACTGGATGATGCTAAAACATGTATTTGAAAAAGAAATGCCAAAAGGAGCTTGGGAAAACTTGCTGTAGCTGAAATGTCTGAGAGGTATTATTTTTATTTAAGTTTTTGTTGCCCTGATGTTTTAGGCTTCACTTCAGCAAACTGTTAAAACATGTTTCTTAAGTCCATCCCCATTCAGCAAAGCATGTGGCTAAATCTCATGGAAGTAAATGGGATTTAATCATGTACTTAAAGTCAAGCAAGAGTTTTACTAGATATGGGTGGACTGCTGAATTGGGCCTTTAGTTAAAATGGAGTCATATAAAAAGACTAACTTTAACAAATGAAAATGTTGTCTTATAAATATGCTGCTGCTCTCCACAGGAAACAGGCTCTTGTGGAAATGGTAATTTTTTGCAACTGACATCCTTGTTTTAGCATGTTAGTTAGTTGCAATTCACAGTTACAATTTGAAAGCATAATCCCCCTTCGGCATAAACGTATGCACTTGCTATGATATGGTGAATAAAGAAAGTGTGTTAACTGTTACTTTGGACTACTTCCTCTCATTAAATGTCTTTACTTATTAATATGCAGATATATAGCAGCACAATAGGAAAATTAGAGCTACCTACACAAAAGGTTAGACTAGACATGACACTGAAATGCACTTGTTCAAAGTGTAACTCTCAAATGTCATTTATTTTATTAAACCCAAAGCATAAAACTCAGCAGTTTTTAAAAACACTTTTAGATTTCAAATTGTTCAATAGCTAATTTAAGAAGAAAAAAGGAGAAAGAGAAATTATAATGCTATTCTAAGTTTTAAAAGCATTTCTCTAAGAGCAAGACTGCTGGCATAAAGTTCCTGTAATTAAAACACTCATTAAACACTGTGAAGATACCCCCAGAGCCCTATGTAGAAGATTCTCAACAGTTCTAACATAACCAAAATATTTTGCAAAACATCACTCACTTTGGTTGTGAATTTTGCATATTAAGGTGATAACGCTGCACTCTATAAATATTAAAGTTGTTTGATATTAAAGACACATGTATCATAAAGTGTACATCAGTATTGTGTGTGTTGGGGTTCTTTTACATTCGAGGGAGTTCAATCCTTTTATTTTTATTGTTGTTGTAGTATAGAATTCACATTGTTGTGGGTGTTTTGTCTCTGATTTTATTTGCTGCCAAAAAGACTTCCTATTGCAATGTTAAGTTACAGGAACTGAAGGTGCAGTGGCAGGCACTTGATGTTAATTTCTTGTTTTGATCCTTGCAATTTAAGAATGAAGTTGTGCAGAGGCTACAAACTCTGAATTGATTATCTTAAAGGTGAAAGTAAGGAAACTCTTTAAAAGTAGTATGAATGCTAGCTGTGGTCAACAAATTGTTTTAAATTATTTTACAATATGGCTAATCCAGCCCCCATTATGTCAACTGCAAATTCCCCATTAGCTTCAATTGGATGAGGATCTGGCCCATTGTATAGGCACACTGAGGTTTCTGTACTGTTTGACTCGATTCACAAATGTCACTAGTAAATAGCACGAGACCTATGCAAACCATTCAAAATGAAACCTTGAAACCAGCTGAAAGTCACCTTTTTTGTTTGGAATTTCAAACTCCCCAATGTATTGTGATCCTATCTTTTACTATACGTACTGTCTTTGTTTTCTGGAGTCAGCAAAATGAGGGGATTATGTGAAATGCTTGCCCCAAATCAGCATATTCTGATGCCAGCTACAGAGGTGCTGGATCTGTTGTGAAAGGGATTTTAATCAGAAACCACCACAATTGAGATTTTTAGCAAACTAATTGAAACCTGATGTTTTTGGAACAGATCAGTTGAAACTAACCTGTTTCTCTGGCATTTTAAGAAATTTGGGGGTTTGTGTGACTTTAAAATTCCAAGTGGAACTAGAAGAGTTGGGAATTGGTGCAAATCAGACTTACTAAAAATAATCAGCAAAATATGTGGGAATGAAACCTGGCAAATGTATTACAACTGTGTTTTAAAGTCTTGTTATTACTTCCTAAAATTAAAAACTGTATGTGTGAGATACATTAGCCATGTAATACTGACGAGTTTGATTACTTAATAAAGAAAATCTTGTTTTAATCTGCTGCTCTTTGAAAGTGTTGATATATTTAGCAGTAAACTACTCAGTGTAGTATATTCTTGAGATGGAGAGCATTAAGATGAATTGTACCTGGGACTTTTTTTTTTTTTTTTTGCTAAACCTACTCCAGGGCACCTCTAGCCCAGATATATTTATGGGTATATTGCAAACTTATGTTAAAATTATTTTATACTGGTGATTCCAAGATGTACTGTGTATACTTTTTCCTAGGCAAAAGCTACTGAGTTATTGTAAAGTTTCAGCAAAACTTAAAATAAAATAAAGCCACAGAAAAAAGATACATAGTGTTTGGGGACTGTTTCTGGGACTTTTTGATTATTAATGCAAACTTTCTTTGGGAGCATTTGCATTGAAATTCAGGGTCCCGATATTTCTGTCTCTATACAGTAACATCAAAAATGAACTGAGAATTGGAAATGAACTATTCTGATCAGAAGTGAAAAATGTATTGATCTGTCTGTATCTATCTGAGCAGCAAAAAAACCCAACAACCCCTTTTAATAAAAACAGGTTTAATAAAAGTACTTTATGGAAAGAAAATAGATTGCTGCATGACATTTTGACTATGCAAAATGGGGGGAAAATGTAAGTTTAGTTTTCTTTTCTTTTTTCTTTTCTCTTCCTCCAGCCCAAAGAAGGTTTTTTAATGGTTGAATTGCCATTTCTAATTCTGTTTTCCTGTTTCTGTATGCCTTCATTAAGCTCCTTTAGATATTTTGCAGAGCAGGCAAAACCTGATTTTTCCAAATACATTTATTTCTAAAATCTTAGTCATATTTGTGGGAT